TTTTGGCCCACGAGTGTGAAGAGGTGCACCTTTTTTTAATTTCACAAAATTTAACAAATTATTGTGCTAAAACGGTTCCATACCCAAAACTAAAATTTTACATTCTAACTTTGGGTCATGAGGGGTACCACATTAAAAATTTTCATCAAAATCAGAGGGGGTCATGCTCCAGCCTCTGGCTGACTTGAGATGGAATTACCCTGGTATAATTCCTTGTACTTTATCATCATTTTACAAAAGATAAATTACCCTTGTGTGTGCATCTATTCTGCCATTCTTGTGCCTTGCCCCCCCCTGGGAATAAACCAGCGGACGCCCATGACCTTTACCCCCCGATCTCCCTTTCCTCTGCTCAATCTTCCCTTTCCCCCTCTCAGGTTTTTACAAGTATATTTTGACTGTTTAGCCTCCCTCCAGTCCTTTTACTTTCTACATGCCCTTGTGAGTAGAACAATCTGAATTCATCCCAGTCATGAAGAGGGATCCCCATAGTTGGCAGGAGTCGCTATCCGGTGTCGGCACTTTAATGTACCATTTTCAATTTTGTTGAAATTTTTTATTTTCTCAGTTAAATATTTTACGGCTTGGTTCCTTGGTTCCTCGTACGGCCGTCTAAATATGAAAATTGTATTTTCATTGTAGGGGTGTCATGTGCAACGATGGTTTCCCTAACTTTTTGTGTGATGTCAAGGGAATTAATTCTGCTTTTAGGAATGCCTTTTCACTGTGCCAAAGATTGAGATCATCATCTCCCCCCTTTTTTTTTATTCATGTCGAGGACAGGAGTTTTCTCCGATTGTCACCAGCAGCAAGAGAGAGAGATAGAACTCCACCTATTCAGTGCTTGCTCCTGACGAACACCGAAGCCTTGGATAAGATTTTCCGAACTATCTTCGTTCTCATCCATATTTCATCCTTGGCTAGGTGAGCATTATGTCACATGTACCCATTGAATCCATTATACAGCCATTATTTTCTTCAGTTTTAAATCTTCTCCCTATGTGAGAAAGTGGCATCACCTGCGTTCTTTGACACCTAGGCATTGGATCCCTCCCGAAGAGTACGTCGAGACCATAGACGCAGCATCTCGCAAGACGACCATATTTCCCGGATGCAGGAGCATCCGAATACGTGGATCGGAACCCGTGAACGGGAACCATCTGGAACGTGTGCACTGGCTGGCAAGTTCTTTGCAGCTTGGCGCCTGCATGAGCCCCATGCTGAAGAAATCACTCATTTTTTTTGTCTCCGGTCGGGGAGACAGGCTTCAACCCCAAGACTTGCAGCAGACCTCGTCCCTCGTCAAGATTTTACCTTTTAATTATTTTAAATAGATCTAGCTTTGTTTTGTTTTGTTTTAGTTTTATATTTTGTTTATGCTTTTGTTTTTTGCTTTATCTTTCCTTTATTTTTTATTTTTTATTTATTGCTTTTGTTTTTGTTTTTATTTGTTTCTGGTTTGTTTCATTTTTTTTGTTTCATTCATGTTTTATTCTGTTTCATATCCTCACCCTAACCCCCTCTCCATGTTCCCTCTTTATAGTTCTATTTGATCTGAGAGAGAAAATAATTGGAGCAAGAGTAAATCCCCATGTCCTTGAATGCATCGACATTCGCTTTGCTTACTGGACATCATTTTCCCCATCTATAGGCCATGCTGTATCACGATCGTATTTGTATTTTTGTAGTTAACATCTTCCTCTCACGAACTATATGGTGAGAGGAAAGGTAGGGTAAAGCTGTTAATCAACAAGTTATTTTGGAAAGGAGGAATATTACAGTTGGATAGATTCGGAGTAAATTTACAAAATCGGTCAGCAAATTTATGTGGAGAGAATAGCATTCGCTCAGTAAGAATCGCACAGTACAATTTTCAGGGTTCAAAAAGTCGAAACATCTTCGAACTTCCCAGCAAGCTTTACTCTGTTGAAGAGTCTAAGTCCACTCATTTTTAATTTCTTTTCCAGAACACACTAATAGTTTTAGTGTGTTCTGGAAACTATAAGTTTTGAATTATGGCGGCAATGATAATTTTTTTTAGAAGTGTTAGCATGTCCTGGCTAAATGTTCCGGACAAGGTGAGCAAACGATAAATCTCTCAAGCGCCGAAGAAGACAAATAGTGAACATATACTAATATGATGGTTGTCGAATTTTAAGACTGCAGTAGGAAACGAATTTCATCCTGGTAGTTTTCAATTTCCAGATATACAGAAGAGACTTTCGTTTTTCCTCTTTCAGGAAATAGTTTGAAGGAAAGGGCGAATCAGTAAACATCGTCCACCATCGATCCATTGAAGGCGAATGCGAGTGGACATGAGATGGATTGGTACATGATGGTACGCTTCTGATTTGTCTGTCACTGCCTCCCTTGTATAGCCTTATTGGCTTTGTCAAATAACGAGGTCATCACATTACTTGTAACCATGATGCAGTGAAGTACTTGTGAATGTCTTGTACTCCAAGTTCGTCCACGTGACCAAAAAAGAAGAAAGAGCGAACGTCGCGATAGACGTCACTTCCCACAGGACGACCATATTCCCGGGCGCAGGAGCATCTAAATACAGTACAGTGAAAACTCGTAAACTCAAACTTTAAGGGACCGGGCTAATCGTTTCGAGTTATCCGTAGTGCGACTTATTAGGAATTTCCTATACCGTAAAAAAGAAAACCTCACGTTAAGGGATGTATCCAGAGGGTGACTTTTCCGTCTTCAAGAATTCGATTTCAAGGAACGATGACTTTATCATTGGCTTTTATTCATCTCAAGGGAAACATTTATATTGATACTCGTATGTAAAATTCATTTGCCATAATGCCCTTCATAGGTACTCTGAGTCTTTAGTTTTCCATGGAGCGGGCTCATTCCAATAAAAATGGCGTAAATGGTGTAGAAACACGACTGGAATGCCACGAAGTGGGACTGATAGACAGGGAGAATGCTAGAGGGTGTTTTTTTTATAGCAGAAACTTTTCGGTTTTAATTCTCACGTTTAATCCTTTTGCAGTCCATTTTTCTGCATTTGTAACTCTATGGAGATTGTCGGACTATGTCTGACAGCGAAAGGCAAAGGGTTAATCTTCCCCCAGCCATCTGTGAGAGAGGAGGGAGAAACGGAAAAAAAAAAACAAATGAAACAAAAGGACTTTCTTGCCTTTCACCCTGTTCCAAAGTCCCACAATACACATTTTTTTCCCCTTCACACCTCGAATTCGAGTTAACCACGAGGAAATTATAATCTGGAGAAAAAATGTGGTTCGAGATAAGCGAATTCGAGTTAAACGGAATATTTAGCATGGTGTCCTACGGGATTCCGCCGGGACTAAACATTGAACTTCCAGATAAGTAGGATTTCGACTTATCAAGATTCCATTTAACGAGTTTTCATGCGTGGATCAGGATGAACGAACCAGAATAAGCCTGCAAGAACCCCATGCTGTGATCCACCTTTTCCGTGTCTTTCTTTGTCGGGAAGACAGGGGCTTCGCTCTGTGACTGGAGCTGAAGTTTTTCTCATCCTTTGCCAAATCCCGCCTTCCTTTTCTTTTGATTCCCAACCCCCCCCTCCCTTTGTTTCATTCTGTAACTTCTCTTTTTACACTTGCTTTTCTTTGTGTTTCTCCCTATTCTTCGCTTTGGTTCCCTCTCCCAGACCACCGTCACTGGAACTTGAAGGAAATGCTCGCATCCGTCTGTGCAACGGCACACTCATTTTTGTAGGCATACTTTGTGGGGTTTTTCTAATCGATCTGCCATGATGCTCGTATCACGATTGTTGGCATATCCATTCCATAACTGTTGTCTGCTGTGACACATGCCTAAAAAGGATCGATAGTATTTTCGGCCACAGAAAGACCTTGAGAAAAGAAGAAAGAGTTCCGGATTTAGTGAAGATGACAATAGTGGCAATAAATCCTGAACTGGGCTGCTCAGTTATCCTCAACGTTCATAAGCAAGGGATTTAATTAGGGAGCTAAAAAACACAAAAGCTGTTTTAATCACTCGTCAGAACGTTAGCTGGAAAATTGAAAAACTTAAGTTTAATAGCTAAGAAAGCATCACTTTTCACTTGCATAAAAAATTACGCTTAAATCTGACCATAGCAAGACCTCGTAGTCCAAGTCAAAAGTTTTCCTTTGCAGCCAACTACAATACATGAGCACGTATGTGAATCCCTTCTACGAGGTGCAGTGAAAAAGTAATAATCGATTTTTAAATTTATTTAACGGAAGGCAAACAATGCCTCATCGTTAGTTAATTCTTCATATTCCTCATGAAGTCATCATACTCTCCCTACTCAAGTTGCATCTTTAGATCTCTTTTTGGAAAGCAGCTAATTTTTCTTTTGGTGGATATTCAGATCATGAGGAAATTGCTGAGCCCATAGCAGCCTCACTGGAAAAAATTTACTCCGGCAAGTTCGCGAATACAGGTCTCAAGAAGCTTGTTGATATGCTGCTCGCAGGCCTAAACATTGTGAATTGCCCTTTCTCTCTTTCCCTGTGAAGACACAAAGCAGATCGCAGCCCTTTGTCTGCGGCACTCGGTGAAAATGGCTTTCGCAATTGCATTCTTTCCCGTTTCAATCTCAACGGCAGACTTGATGGCTCGAAGAGGAAAGGGAAAGGGCAGAGGGAATGAGCCAGGAATGTGCCAGGAATGTACCATGAAGACTTGGGCCAAGGAATCTCAAGAGCAAATCCAGGCTCGCTAGAATAAGCGCCAACAGAAGAGACGAACCGGAATGATGTGGAATTAGAATGCAGTCAAAAAGACTTTCGACCGAGGGGCCTTTAACGATGCCGGACGGAATAAGGCCGAACCGGGATGAAACTGAATCAGGGTGAAAGGTCGAAAAGTCGAGCTCGGAGGTTACAACGAAAATTCAGAGATGGAAATTTTGCCGAATGAGCAGCGCCAACACGGAATGACGTGAGAAATCCCAGAGAGTTTTTTTTTAAATTTAAAGTTCGTACTTGATAGGTTAGACGTGGCATGCTTCCTGAAAAATCTCTCCCCTGAACGAAATAGCCCCGAATTGAGAGTTTGTCGAAAAGGCATCGCCTGAATGGAAAGAGAACCCTTCTAAGAGAACCATAATAATGCCGAACTGGAGCAATACCGAACCGGAATAAGAGAGATTGAAGAAAGTGAAACGGCGAAAAATGAAAGGCGGAATAACGACGACAGGAACAATGCTGAACGCTGTTCGAACAGCGCCGACCTGTCACGATGTCGAAAATCAGAGACAATTAGTTCCTAGTGCGTACAACAGATGTCGTGTGCTTCCCAAATATTATATTTCTGAGTTCTTCCCGAACCTTGCAGCGAATGACTGCGCAATTCAGGAAAAATAAAAGGGAAACGGGCGCTTTAATCTTCATCCTCTCAATCATATGATACCATTCCATGCATCACGATCTCCTTAAGGAAATCCGATTTGAAGGCGCGATGACGAAGTTATGGGCAAAATGTCCAGACTCCAGGAACATTTCCATCGATATTCCATGGGAATCGGGAATGACGTCATTGATGAAGTATTCTTAGTTGTTGCCAGGTTTCAAGACGGCACAAGAAAATCTTCATTGCCATACTTCCAGACGGGAACTAGACATTTCTCTTTTTTTCCCATCGATTTTGTGCACGTTGCAGAAACGAGACGGGGAGAGAAGGATTTTGCCCACGGCCCGTGGCCTTGGAAATCGACCGGCTGCGAGGCGATTCCGAGCGAGAAGCGCGGAAGCCATGTGCCACAGGGAATGCGTTCCCGTCGAAGACTCGCCATTATAAGAAAACATATTTCCATGCGATTGCGGAATATCGGTCCGCGAGTCCTTTTCGTAATTCCGGCTCGAACATCGTTCATGATCACATCGAGGAAAGGATCAGCGAAGCGATCTTCCTTAGGATAACGGAACCAGCAAGGAAGAAACGAGCGAAGAACGCGACATGCCTAGAAGGGAACGGCGTGACCTTCACTGGCTTCGCTTTTCCTTCCTTCGAAGGAATCGCCCGCTTTCACTCCACGAGGCACGTCTTCTGTCTAGGCTAATCCCTAGCTTTTTATTTATATTTATATTTATTTATTGGACGAGGCTGTAGTTGGGCAGGGTCGTCCGTATCACGTGTCGAAGATCTGGCTATTTTTCAGTACAGTGTGGACTCCAGTGCATTTTTTTCTTTCCCTACCGGTTGTCCCCGCAAAAACGGACGAATTTTCTGTGTGCTTCGAAAGTGATCGTCGTTGCGAAACCTCGACTCGGGTCACGCAACGGGGAAACCGTCGAGAGCGAATTCGAATTGTTCATCGGGAAGTGAAACGTCGTGTGCAACCGGAGAAGAAAGGATTCTCGACCATCTCTCTCGAGATGCGAAAATAGGCCCTCGGAGACTCCGGAGAGACATGAAATCAGTCAGGTGAGGCTTTTATCATTTTGGCTTTCATCACGCTGAAGGTACAGGGTGTGTCGAAAAAGATAACTAAAAACCAGGGCGGTACCGATGGCCAATTATGATCTGATACCCATCGCCCAGTGCCGGTGCCGATTGTGGTCGGCACCGGCAGATTGTGGTCGGTGGTCGGATTGAGAGGAAAGTGCGTTAATTCACATACTAATTAAAATAGGCCTATTTGTAGGCCCTGTGACACGTATCAGTGGACCTCCTTAAAACGGAGATCACTTTTAGCCCTGTCCAGCCTGTCTGTCAGTGTATGTGTCCATAAGTGGTTAGTTTGTTGCCTATAGCTGTTGTTAAGCATGTTTAACGATACATCTCTCGCAAATGTATAGCATGAAAGGAAACGCAATGATTTCCCTTCTTTACTGCTATTTTCCGCCGTCTCTCAAGGAGAGGCTGGCGGGAGTGGCTTTCAGTGAGACAGGAGGGCCGCCACCTAACCGAGTTCACACGCTCAGGTATATTTTTTAAATCTCGTTTTGCCCCTCTTTTGGGCATCGGCATCGGTAGCTTGCAACCCTGCCGGGGGCCGATGGCGCCTATACCAGTGGTTGCATCGGTACAGACCTACTAAAAACACAATTCAGTACTTAGAACACATTGATGGTATGTAAACAGTTCAATCGCCATTATTTATGTATGATTGTCGGGTAAATCGTGACTCAACCCCACCATCACCGTGATGCCGAATCACGTGATTAATGTGCTTGCCATCACCACTCTTTGCGAAGAACCATGTTGTTCACTGTAGCACATGACGTGTCTTCAGTCACATTACCGATAGTTTTAGCAATGTTACGCCGCGAATCATCT